TTGCATACTGCATATTTTACAAAATATGTAGGTCGCAGAATAAATGTAGAACAATTGCTATTATCGGCCATCATTGTGCCAGTTTAATACAGATCAGAGTAAAATCTTGGAACAGCTTGCCTCCCAGAGCTGCGGATGCTCCATCACTGGAGGTTTTCAAGAAAAGGTTGGACATCTATTTGTCTAGGATGGTATAACAACTCCTGCTTTGGGCAAGGGGTTGGACTAGAAGACCTCAAGGGCCCCTTCCAGCCCTAGGATTCCATGGTGAGACGGCTTTGCTTGTTACGATGAAAGAGATTTGTGCAGATATATTATGCCAACGGAGAGGATACAAGGAGAACTTTCAAGATGACATCTAAAATTTGCTATCGATTTTTATCTTCCTGTGTTTTAGCGGCTGCACAATGTTGTCAGCATAACAAATGCCCCCGTTTCATCTTTTAAACGTTCTTGATTGTAAAATCCGTGGATTAGGGCAGCCTGTAAATAAATGATGAATGGAAGATTGGCAGCAATATCTATGTCCAGAAAGGATATCCAGGACAAGGAAGTTCTGCAGCTTTAATGAGTTTAGGGACCTCACCAGCAGTGTCCTTGAGGCAGCAAATCAATTATCTGAATGGCTACTATAGCTATTCTTCACCTCATTCCTGGAGGCAGATGTATTTTCTTTCAGCCAAAGGAGAAAGGATTAGGCACAGACTCTTGTGCTATGTGTTACCAACCCTACTACAAACCACCCTTGATGGGGAGGGGATCTCTGAAGGGATACCTGAGGCAAACATTGACCTTACAAGTCTGCATCTTCAGGCATTTATTAAGCTTCTTAAAAAAACAGGGTTCTCCAACCTTTCCAACTCTGCAGACCGGAGGGTGGGAAGAAGCAGAGGTGATATTCAGTAGGTTCTGACCAGTTCTGGAGAACCGGTAGCATAAATTTTGAGTAGTTCAGAGAACCAGTAAACACCACCTGTGGCTGGCCCTGCCCCTCATCTATTCTCTGCCTCCCAAGTCCCAGCTGATCGGGAGGAAATGGTTTTTTTGCAGTAACCTTCCCCTGGGGTGGGGAGGGAATGGAGATTTTACAGTATCCTTCTCCTGCCAGGTCCACAGAACCGGTAGTAAAAAAAAAATTGAATCCCACTACTTGGAAAAAGGGATGGTTCAACACCCGCTTCTCACAGAAATGGAGCTTCCTATGTGAGTGTGAGCACCCACCGTTCGCAGAGATGGAGCTGTGCATGCTTGCCCACCTGCCTTCCGCTTTTGCAGCCCAGGTTCGAATGGGTCGCAGCTTGGTACTGGGTCACGGCCCGGGTGTTGGGGACCCCTGTCCTAAGAGACCTCCCAATGCTTGCCCCTGCAGAACCACCAACTGCATTTCATATTCCTTCTCTTGATGGCAGCAGATCAGGGGTGGGTTTCAACCGGTTCGCGGCGGTCCCTGCGAACCGGTTGGTCGCCGAACCCGGAAGTAAGTACCTTCTGGGAACGGCGAAGGGCGCGCCCGCCCGCCCGCGGTTCTTACCCGGTTTTGATGAGTTCTGCGCTTCCACGCATGCGCAGGACACATACAGCGCCTACGCGATCGTCCAGGAGCAGCTGGAAC